CTCATCCAGGCTTTCAAGATAATTAAAGGAATAGATAATGTCGAGTGTGGTAGGTTTTTCCAGTTTGATGACAGCAAGAGAACGAGAGGTAACCGACTTAAGTTGCGCAAACCGCAGGTGCGGCTCAGGTCGAGACAGGAATTCTTTACTTGCAGAGTGGTGAACGCGTGGAATGCGTTAGATGACGAAGTAGTGGCTGCCCTTCTGTGACTATCTTTAAGAAGAAACTAGATGCTTTCATGGACAGGTAAACAGGTGGGGGGCAATGTTGACGTAGGTACTAGACAGTAAGCAACTAGGATAGTAAAGAAAAAAAAAATTTAGCTTTAAGAGGGTTAGGCCTACCCTAAAATTAAGGAACGCTCGACCTCGACACGTGATATCGAAATGGACGAAATCGCCTCTTGATATCACTAACTCTCCTGAAGTCGGAAACACTGTCGGGAATTCACGTGTTCAGTCGGCGGCTCTCAACGCTCTACGCAGCCGCTCGGTCTTTGTACGTCTTGCGCACCCCTTCCCCTACCCACTGGGGTGTTTCCACCTACGATTTTCGTAGGTGGTAACACCCCAGTGATTTTCGCAGGGACGTGGAAAACGACCTCGCGTGTAACCCTTGGAGTCTTCTTTCACCTCGCTGAAGGATTGCCTCCTCGCCGGGATGAGATCTCCGCCATAAACCATATCAAGTAAAGGCACCAGTTCGTGGACGGATTCCTGCTTGTGGACGATTTCGCGTTTGCTGCCATCCGAAAAATTTACGAAGGAAATTCAAAATCTTGACAGCTCCATGTTATGCGCATGCCAGTCGGACACCATCTAATATATTGTTACGGAGGGGATGTTCCTCGGACGGACGGCATGAGAGGTCGAACGAACCCAAGGAACGGCCGGGAATCGAACCCGGGCCTCCTGATTGCCGGTCAGGCGTGCTACCACTACACCACCGAACCCTGCACATTCAGTCGAGCCTCTCAATGCCATCCTTATCACAATATATAGGCGATCGTGACTGACTGACACTAATTCTAACCATGTTCTAGAGAAGTTAGAAATCTGAAACTTGGTACACAAGTAGCTATTGGGATGTAGAGTTCAGAAAAAATCCGATTTTGGAGGTACATGGGGGGGACATTTCGGGGGGGGGGACTGATTTTGCAAGCCTAGGCCCAGCCCCCCAGACGGGGGTTTAGGCCTACGCCATTCTCATACACACGTTCCTTCCTCTGTTATTGAAGGAAGTGTGTGTAACTGCTAGGTTGTTCACTTAGAAGGAATTCCGACTTCGGGAGGGGGGTGGGGTTACATGCCCTGTGGGACAATTTTCGAGGGCGGCTGATTTCGCAGGCCTCGGACTAACCCATGGATGAACGCTTAGGCCAATACCATTCTCATGCACTCTCTTCTTCAAAGGTAGCGGGATGGAACAGCTGCTGGCTTGCGACCTACAGATAACAGTCCGACATTGGAGGTACGTGCCCTGGAGGGACTGATTCAGCAGGCCCATATCTGACCTTCGGACGGACGCTCAGGCCTACATCGATCTCGACTCAATGGTATCGAGGAACTTTTCGGCTTGTCTGAACGGAAAACTTGCTGCCTCAGCATGCGGCGCGAGGTCTTTGACCTATGCCTTTCTAGTTCATAGGCTAGGTAGAAGTACTTGGATTGATGCGTGCCAGTTTGCTTGTGCATGCGAATTGGTTTCATATTTTTTTTTGCTGCAGGGAAACGGCAAGGAAGATTTTCCTTCTACTTTCCGATTAAGAGTCGTTATGTTCAATGCAGGATGCTTAGACCAATGTCATTTCTATGCTCACACTTCAACTAAGCAGGAACGTGAAAAAGCCATAAACTGCCTTCATGAATGACGTATTTTCTCATGGACAACTGTATGTAGCATTAGGTAGAGTCAGAAAAAGAGAATCATAAAAAGTACTTGTACCTAAATATAGATATGAAGATACTGAAAGAACTCCCCATACAGTGAACGAAGTCTATAAATAGTTATTACGGTAAAACTCTCAAGTGGCTTATGAGGTTCGTGTGGCTGCTATTATTCACTTCTACATTTTTGGAAGTTGATATACAATCAAGAGTGTAGGCAGGAGGCAGGAGTTGAATACACCAATGAATACACCAATTAAACGACGCACTGAGAATTGTTACTTGGTGATCCTTATGCTACAAGTCACATGGTGTTACTAGGAATATGTTCTTAGACACCATTATTTTTAAAGGTGCCAGTGCCAAAGGTGTGGGAATTGAACCCATGAGCAAAAGAGTTTGACCGCATCACTAAGGGTGACCATCGAAAACGGATGCCTGAAACTGAAATGCATTAGCATTTTCCTTAGATCGCAGAGCGCCTAGTAATAAATACTCTTAGCCGAGTTAAATGAGCGTTTTTGAATCCCGAATATGAGAGTCAGGAAATATTTTTCGATATTGTTTCATAGCACTAGACCACACTCGCATCCCGCGAGATCCGCTTTGTGGGTAAAAAATTTTCAACAGACACGAAGAACTCAAGGTTAATTTTTATTTACAGTGAGAGAAAATACAATGAGTAAAGGGAAAC